AATTTTATCCCACTTTCCACTTTAATACGTACGTAATTTCAGCAAAAATATTACATTTTCGTGAATGTATTATATCAAGCACAGTATGAATAGAATATCATTGAAATATAACAGAATTTTAACTGAAAACTATTAAAAAAACGAATAACATCTCAAGAACATCGGAAGCTTAGGTAAAGTCTTTTGTTTCCGTCATGTATTTTATCCTATTTTACATTGAAATACATCACGTTTCAGCAAAACTACTATTTATTTCCGAGAATATATTCATTCGGGCGCAGTTTAGGTAAAATATACGTGTGATGTAATAGTTTTTTAACTGAAAATGATACGAAAAACACGTACCCTCTAGCCCTGTTCAAGGAGAGACTGGGAGAAGCAGTTTGGTGCTGCAAACGATGACAAAGAAAATGATTTTGATGGCTTTTAATGAAAATATTCAGAAATACGGTATCGTAGTATTTATTCAAGTCAATTAGGATAGAATATTATTGTAATACAGTTCAACAGTTTTTTAACTAAACCATTCGAAAAGCGATTACGGTAACATCTTTTGAACGAAAGAAAGCGAAAGTCATTGTTTTCGTCACGATTTTATCCCACTTTCCACTGTAATACGTACGTCATTTTAGCAAAAATATTACATTTCCGTGAATGCATTATATCAAGCACAGTATGAATAGAATACCATTGTAATATAACAGTATTTTGAGTTCTACTCTTTCCATTTACAGATTACTGTACAAGCCCATAATAATGGCTCCTAAAGTAGATAAACTTCGTTGTGTGAAGAGAAAGAAGAACACGTTAAATTGAGTGACAAACTTGAAATAATTAAGAAACTAGTACAGTACGTGGTGTGAGCAATACTGTTCTAATGGAAACATACTACATTGGAAAGTCTACAATTTATGATATAAAAAAGGCAAAGAATAAAATTCTAGAATTAATAGGCCATTAAAAACTGCCTGCTTTAATAATAATAATAATAATAATAATTAACGGTTTATTGAAAAAGTTCTGCAGCCCGAAGGCTGAAAATATACATTGGACATAAATGACTTATTACATACATTGGTGGTTTAACAAAAGCCTTCATTAGAGAAAGGTGAAGGAACATACAGTGAACAAACAGATTAATGTAGGTGTTGAACAGCAAACACGTAGTGTAGTAACTCCCTCCCAGATGGTGTTAGGAGGAACTCACGTGGTGTAGTAGTTCCCTCAGATGTTGTCATGAGGGAACCTGGCGTGGTGTAGTAATTCCCTCATAGATGGTGTTACGAGGGGCCTCACGTGGTGTAGTAATTCCCTCACAGATGGTGTTATGAGGGGCCTCACGTGGTGTAGTAATTCCCTCACAGATGGTGTTATGCGGGGCCTCACGTGGTGTAGTAATTCCCTCACAGATGGTGTTATGAGGGGCCTCACGTGGTGTAGTAATTCCCTCACAGATGGTGTTATGAGGGGCCTCACGTGGTGTAGTAATTCCTCACAGATGGTGTTATGAGGGGCCTCAGTAATTCCCTCACAGATGGTGTTATGAGGGGCCTCACGTGGTGTAGTAATTCCCTCACAGATGGTGTTATGAGGGGCCTCACGTGGTGTAGTAATTCCCTCACAGATGGTGTTATGAGGGGCCTCACGTGGTGTAGTAGTTCCCTCACAGACGGTGTTCTATGAGTGAGGTGTGGTCCCAGGCCTTCCTATCGTAGACGGATTAACACATCGCTGGTTGATGGGTCGGGCCGTTATCACTGGGTACCTGGGACCTCACTGTGTGAAGGTCAACTTGGGTACCACTGTTACTGTTGAGTTGTTCTCACTGACTTAAGCACTGTTCACCACTGTTCACCTCTGTTTAACACTGGTTCCATTCCTTTCCTAAATGAAATAGTAACTTCTGGCGTGAACTTGTTGATATTCCGGTGGGGAGGAGGGTTCAGGGGAGGAGGGATTTGGTATGGGCCAACAACAGTTGACCTGGCTGCTCCGAGAGGAGCGCCAGATACGTCTTGACCCTTCGGTGGTCAAGGATAAATGAAACATGCTATATTTGCCAATGAATAAACTATCAAAATGTACCTGTTCATCTCTTCTTTATTCCTCCTTAAATTTGAATTTTAAAAGTACTGCCTGAGAATCCGGAAAATCCGAAAATCCGGACCAACCCAATCCCCAAGCAGTCCGGATTTTTGGACTTCTGTAAATGGAACAATAGAAGTAGCTAACGATAATGGTAAAGAAAAAGAGAGATCGCGTGTAAGTGCGCATGCGCACACATGAAAACATATCGTCATTACTTTACATAAGAATATGAAAGCAACACTTATTTACTGTTCATATATATTTTAATTAATGTTTCTGAATTTGTTTTTATTGAATTAATGTATGTGTGTGCAAAATTAACAATACAATTTATTAATAATACGTGGAATATTAGAGGAGACGAGGCGCTGCCGGCATTGTTTATGTTAAAGTTTAAAACCAGTGACTGATTGGTTCTACATATAAAACTGAAGAAAATAAGACCCTGATTTTAGCTGTAGTAAAATTAATGTAAAAAAATTAATATGGTTGTTTGAAGTACCTGTAATGTTATTTAATGTTAATAAATGGAACAATATAAGTAGCTAACCATTAATGGTAAAAAAAAAGTGAGACTGCGCGTATGTAAGTGTGCACATGTGAAAACATATCGTCATTACTCTACATAAGAATATGAAAGCAACACTTATTTACTGCTCATATATATTGAAGGGTTAAATGTTGTACTCTGTATAGACAAGCAGAGAGAGAGAGAGCAGCCGAACTGCCGGATGTAAACAAACCTTAATTTCCCGCGGCTTTGTTGTTTTTTTTTTTAAGGGGATTAGCCCACCCGGGCATAGGTCACTGACCCACATTGGGGCCTGAGGGGCAAAAATTTAATACTCCTGTAATAATAATTCAGAGAATTAAAAAAAAAAAAAAAAAAAAAAAAAAAAAAAAAAAAAAAAAAAAAAAGCCTACCTATTGGACAAACTAAAATCGTTCTGGACCACAGGAGTTTCCGGACCACAGAATGCCGGACTAGAGAGGTACAACCTGTATCAGGTGCGAGTGTATGACGAGGCACACGAACGTGCCCTGATTCAAGAGTGGTGGAAACGAACGCAATTCAAATTACCTGAATAAGCAAGATGTCGGAGATTGGGTATATTGATGACATGGAAGGAGAGTCGGACCTAGATAGAAGCAAACATTTTGACCTAATGACAATGGATCCGCCCGCCGAGGTACAATCAGAGAGTGGTGAAACAGGAAATGAGCTTGCAATACCAGGAGATCCACGCGAAGGTCACAGTAGGGAATTGTATTATCAACAAGCAGTGGCCAGAGCTGAGGCAGCGTCGGATGAAGTAAACCGAGCCCTGCGAGAGCTTAAGGCAGGGTGGATGAAAACGATGCACACTGGAATGGTGGCGGGTCAAGAGACATCAGCACTAACACGAAGAAGTGACAGCTCACAGCCTTCGACAGAGAACTCCAGCAATTATGAGAAGCCAATAGTACGGGAAGAAACCCAGCAACAGGCATCGTCTTTACCGCCAATGCTTGCAAACAAAGTGCCTCAAGTCACAATTATGCATCCACGGGGAGAATCAGAGAAGGGTGAAGAAATAAGAGAGCTAGTGGCTACGATGCACATGCCGCAAGCCACCCTTCCCACGTTTAAAGGACAAGGGCGGGCGGAGTTTTGGACCTTTATGCATGCTTTCCGTCGATACACGACAAATGCGGCCGTGCCAGAGAAGTACAAGTACCAACTGCTCATGGATGCTTGTGAAGGAGAAGAGTTACATCAAGCAATCATGGGATGCGACTATCTAGAGCCAGACAGAGCCTACAACAAGGCAATCAAGATCCTGGAGGCAAGGTTTGGAGATAAGTATGCATATGCGGACCAGCTGGTAAAAAGGCTCATAGACGCTCGCTCAGTGGGGGCGTTCGACGACGGAGGGCTGCAAAAACTGGCATCTCAGCTATGGGGTGCAGTAAGCCATCTGGAGAATCTGAACTTGATGTCTGTACTTAAAACAAGGCAGCCCTTCAGAACGCTGGTGATTAAGCTTCCCCCCAAATTGAGGGAACGCTGTGTGGATGATGTACGAAATTATCAGAAGTCGACAGGACACAGAACAGGGCAGGTGAAGTGGTTAGCGGTATATTTGGAGGAGAAAGCGGTGACGATGGATGACATGGCTCTGCTATCAAGCGAGGACAGTCAAGAAGGAAGTAAGAAAAGACCAGAAGGATCATCGTCAAGTAAACGTGCCGTGGGCCTAGCGACTATCAGTGAAGCGAAAGGCAATGGAGGAGAAACAAGCTCTGGAAAAGGCTCGTGCCCAGTGTGTTCCAAAGCACATGGATTAGCAGGGTGCGACGAATTCCGGAGCATGTCAGTGAGGGAGAGGTTAGAGAGGGTAAAAAGATTACGTTGCTCTTTGTTGTGTCTGAGAGTGGGCCACCTTGTTACTGAGTGTTGGTCTCGCTTCAGGTGTGGCACTGATGGGTGCAAAGAGAAGCATTCTAGACTGTTGCATAAAGAACGAAGGCAGGCACTTACTGCAAGTATGTCAAACACACGCAAGGGTGGCGTAAAGCGAAATTTTCAAGGTCTCGTGAAACAGAAGTCAGTGGCAGGCACCTCTGATTGTGGCATGGCCCAGAAAGCCAACGACAGTTCGTACATGGCCGGAAAAATAGGCCATGTCTATGCTACAGGGACAAAGGACGCCCCTGAAAACCCATACAGCTGCGAAAGCGACATCTGACTATCGACGAAAAATGCCAAGATTGTACTGCCCATAGTGAGTGTGAAGATTCGGGGAAAGGACTCACACCAACGAAATCACATCAGAACTTTAGCTCTCTTGGACTCAGGCAGCGACAGGTCGTATTGCACCAAAGATCTGGCACAGAAACTAAGGGTGAAAGGGACACCTACCCTGGTAACCATGGGTACACTTGCCCAAGAGATGATACTCGAGTCAGCAGAACCATACTTATCTCGAAAGTACTCATTATACAGTCAACCCTCACTTTACGCGGTCCCACATTCCGCGTTTACGCGGTGCCCTGCCAGAACCCAGGATGCTCACATTCCGCGGTGGATGTACCCCTTTACACGGTGAAGTATAATTTTTTTTAATTTAGCTCATAAAATTCATACAAATTATCCGGCCAGAATATAATTTGCATTGCTGGAATTCTTACAATTTGATGATAATTTTGAATATAAACATAGATTTTGCATTAGACATACAAATTTTAGATATAATGTTTACTCTTGAGTAAATATGTTATCTTTTGTGCAAAATATATGATATTTATATTCAAAATATTCCTGGTCTTACAAAGAATCCAGCAATGTCAATTATATTATCCTAACTTTAGTCTGATTTATTATTTATTACTAAAAAGGTAAACAGTCTGGTATTCCCACACATTTATCTAGTAGGGACGGTTGGTGGGGGGTGGGGGGGAGGGAGGGAGGGACCGGCGACCGACCATCTGTTACCGTGTGAAGAATATATTTTTTTTTTTATTAACTGAAGATTTTTATTTTAGCTCATAAAATTCATACAAATTGCCCGGCCAGAATATAATTTGCATTGCTGGAATTCTTACAATTTGGTGATCATTTTGAATATAAACATCATATATTTTGCATTAGACATAAAATTTTTAGATAAAATGTTTAATCTGAGTAAGTATGTTATCTTTTGTGCAAAATATATGACGTTTATATTCAAAATATTCCTGGTCTTACAAGGAATCCAGCAATGTCAATTATATTATCCTAACTTTAATCCGAGGTATTATTTAATACAAAACGTTAAAATCTAAATTTTTCACCCAACATCTCTTGAAGGGAGGATTGGTGGGGGGTGGGGGGGGAGGGTTGGGACTGACCATGCGGTTGGAAGAGGGGGGGAGGCAAGGTGGGGTACTTTGATTGACAGATAGTGTCGTGAAGAATATATATTTTTTTTTATTAACTGAAGATATTTGTTTTAGCTCATAAAATTCATACAAATTACCCGGCCAGAATATAATTTACATTGCTGGAATTCTTACAATTTGGTGATCATTTTGAATATAAACATCATATATTTTGCATTAAACATAAAATTTTTAGATAAAATGTTAATATGAGTAAGTATGTTATCTTTTGTGAAAAATATATGACATTTATATTCAAAATATTCCTGGTCTTACAAGGAATCCAGCAATGTCAATTATATTATCCTAACTTTAGTTTGAGGTATTATTTATTACTATACCTGGTTTTCCCCCCAAAATTTCTCAGAGAGGGAAGAGCCGGCAGTGTAGTGTGAGAGGGGGAGGGAGTCGTGTCCATTATTTGAATGGACATTAACTTGGCGACTGTATTTCTCTATTTCTCTTAAGTATTAATTGTGTGCATGTACCATCATAAAATTAAGATGTTATTTTTACTACAACATAGTTATGTGTCGTCAAAAAGTGGAGTTTGGGGATCGGCCTGGACTCCATTTCAATTAATCCCATATGTTATGTTATTCACTTTACGCGTTTCTCGCTTTCCGCGGTACCCTCCGGGTTACATTAACCGCGTAAAGTGAGGGTTAACTGTACAAAATTTTCCCACAACACTGCACAACTCCGTAGCGAACACAAGTGATATCTCAAGGTGGACCCATCTGCGAGGTGTGGAATTACCAGAATTGCAGAGCAACAGCATAGAAATTCTGATAGGACAAGATGTGCCACAGGCCCTGGTACCCTTGGAGGTCAGAGCTGGAAGGGATGGAATGCAATTCGCCATAAAAACGCGACTGGGTTGGACAGTAAATGGACCGGTGGGGCACCAAGACGCACCAGGAGTTTGCATGTCAGGATGCCTGATGACCGAAACTGTCTTGAGTCCTGAAACCCGTCTGGAAAGACAAGTTAAGCTTTTTTTGGGAGCTGGAAAGTGGGGACACAGGAGCCTTGCAGTTAGAAGCTCATTCACTTGAGGACAAAAGAGTGTTGAGCCTATGGTCAGAGACAGGCATCAAAACTAATGGCCATTACCAATTTCCCATACCGTTCCGTAATGAGAACACGGAACTCCCAAACAACAAGGCCATGGCGGAGCGTCGACTAGATGGGCTTCAGAGACTATCCAAGGACGCACGGCTGTGACAAGGATACGTAGAGGAAATAAATAAACTGCTTGCTGAAGGATATGCTGAATCAGTGCCTAAGTGCCAGTTGGAATCAGATACTGGACTGGTCTGGTATCTGCCTCATCACCCGGTGTTGTCTGGTATCTGCCTCATCACCCGGTGTTGAACCCAAGTACAGTGATCCCTCGGTTAACGAACGCCTCGGTTAACGAACTGCCTTCCATAAGAATCTTCAATTCGGTTAACGAACAAAAATTCGGTTAACAAATTTCTTACGAACCAACCTCAACATGTTTTCGCTTGCACTGGCCGGGCAACCAGCTTTAGTATCAGTCCGCCAATACATTAATCGGTTCTAGGGCTTAAATTCCTTACTATTTTAGTAAATATCAAGAAGTTTATACTATTCAATAATTTTAAAAGTTTAATATTCAATTTTTTAGTCATTTTAACAATTATTGAACATAATTGAAGGTAAAGTGACTAGTTTAATGCACGGCATCCAGCCTCTTAACACAGCAAACAGGCGTTAGTCTCTCTCTGTTTTCACTGGAGGTAACATCTTGCTTGAGACTCTCTTCAACTGAACACTTTTTTTCTGTGTTTCCAAGCAAATTATTGGTCATTTTGAAATATATTTTACATATTGACAATATATAATGCAGTGCAGTGTTGATTTAAAGAAAATAATCTTGAAATACACCAAGAGAACTAAAATTTTATGGGTGAAATGGTGCCATGGGGTGACTTCTCTTCCACCCCAATGCCTTCTCTTCTTCCTTCTCCTCCACCCCCATTCTAATTCCCATCATCATCATCATCATCATCCAGGAGCCTTCTACATACACACCTCAAAGTAAGTGAACTTTTCTACCATTTTTGTTGAATTTAGGAAATTTTCGGCGAGCTGGAACCAATTACCCAAAAACCCATTGAAACGATGGTTTCGGTTAACGAACTTTTCGGTTAACGAACAACCTGCTGGAATGGATTGAGTTCGTTAACCGAGGGACCACTGTAAGCCAAACAAAGTACGCATAGTTTTTGACTGTGCAGCCAAACACAAAAGGACATCACTGAACGACCAGGTACTACAAGGTCCAGACTTCAACAACAAATTACTTGGAGTCCTGTTTAGGTTTCGCCAAGGAACTACAGCCATCATGGCAGATGTGGAGGCTATGTACCATCAAATCCATGTAGCACTAGAACATCGAGATGCGTTAAGATTCCTCTGGTGGGAGAATGGGGATCTGAGTAGAGAGCCAGTAACTTACAGGATGAAGGTGCACATCTTTGGTGGGGTGTGGAGCCCTTCATGTGCAACTTACGCTCTCCGGCGCACATTCCAAGACCACAGATCCGAGTTTCCCGACATGGTGGCGCAAGCGGAAGTCAACTTCTACGTTGATGACCTGCTCATGTCGCTGGACTCATCAAATGAAGCATCAATGTTTGCGTGTCAGCTTCGAAGACTGTTGGCGTGTGGAGGATTTCGGTTAATGAAGCGGGCCAGTAATCACAAAGGAGTGTTGGCTACCATCCCACCAGAGAGGCAAAATGCACTGAAGGAAATTGATCTGAGGCAAGACAAATTGCCAATGGAGCGAGCCCTGGGGATTAGGTAGCTCCTGGAAGGTGATCAGCTCACCATCAAGGTGCAACCAAACTCAAGGCCAGCGACCAGGAGAGGAGTACTTAGCCTGGTCAGTTCTATTTATGACCCACTGGGGTTCGTGGCCCCATTCATCATCAGGGCTAAAATATTATTTCAGTGTGAATGCAGGCGTCGATTAGGGTGGGAAGAATCTTTGTTGGCTGTTAATCACACGACCTGGAGCACCTGGCTAGGAGAACTGGCCCACCTAGGGAAATTAAGGGTACCCAGATGCCTAAAAACAGCAAGTGCTAAAGAAATCATCTCAGCACAGTTGCACACCTTCTGCGATGCATCGCAGGCTGCTTACGGTGCGGTGACCTATCTGAGAATGGTAGACTCTGGCGGAAGTATCCAGTGCTCTTTCGTGTACGGACGGGCCAAGCTGGGCCCACTCAAGCAACTGACAATACCAAGGCTGAAACTTTGTGCAGCTGTCCTGGCAGTGAACGCTGATCGAACGATTCACCGAGAAATGACCATGACCATACACGAATCTTATTTTTGGACGGATAGCATGCTAGTCTTGCAGTACATCGCCAATTCGAGCAGACGATTTCAAACGTTTGTAGCCAACAGGATAGCAGTCATACAGGAGCTGTCAAGAACTGACCAGTGGAAACATGTCGGCACATCGCTGAACCCAGCAGATGATGCAACTAGGGGATTACCTATCCTGGACCTGGTTGCAGGATCTTGGTGGATACGAGGTCCTGATTTTCTACTCAGTGTTGAAGAACGGTGGCCAAAGGGAAAGGAACTGCCAGCAGTTCTGAACGACTTACTGGAGGTGAAATGAGAAGTACACCAGAGATCTGTAGTTGCTCTGGCAGTGAGCGAGCAGTCAAAGTGGTCCCTCGCCAAACTGTGGCTCAGGTACTCATCATGGTACTGCTTGGTGAAAGGGGTGGCATGGATTAAAAGGTTCATTTGGTAGCTTGGGTCCAGTACAAGGACCGCAGACCTGCACCTCAAACTGAAGAGGCTAAGCACTGAGGAACTACAGTCGGCTGAGCAGGCAATTATAAGATTGGTGCAGAAAGAGGCTTATGAGAAAGAAATCCAAACTGTCATAAAGGGTGAGCTGCCGAAGGACAATAAGCTATATAAACTGGAACCTTACTTGGACGAGCGAACGTCACTCAGATCAAAGGGAAGAATTAAAGGAACCCTTCTTGGGCGAAGTGGTGAGGAGCCAATCTTGCTGCCTAGAGACCACCACATCACCAAAATCATAGTGCGGGAGATGCACGAAGAGAGAGCCGGGCATGCCGGACGAGAACACACGATGGCGTGTGTGAGGCAAAGGTATTGGATTCCCCAGGGCAGACACTTGCTTGATAGAATCATACAACGCTGTGTAGTGTGCCGACGGAACAACTGGAGAAGTCGGCATCAAAGGCAAGCTGACTTACCAATAGATCGTGTCACTCCTGGAAAGGCTCCATTTGCTTACACTGGAACGGACTGTTTTGGTCCATTCATTATCAAGGTAGGGAGGAAACAGGTTAAGCGCTGGGGATGTCTGTTTACATGTCTAACTATTAGGGCTGTTCATCTAGAAGTCTTGGCCTCATTAGACCCAGATGCCTTCCTCAACGCAATAACAAGGTTCTCACGACGCAGAGGTACACCAGAGCGTAATAGGTCGGATAACGGGACAAACATGGTACGGGCAGCCAAGAGCTCAAACTAACAGTGAAAAGTTGGGAGCAAGATGACAGACTCAGAGGTGCCTTACTAAAAGCAGATATTGACTGGGTCTTCAATCCACCAGCTGCCCCATACATGGGGGGAGTATGGGAAAGGCAGATTCGCACAGTAAAGAAGGTTCTGCAGGCGATTGTGGGCTCACAAGTTTTAGACGATGAACGTCTGCAAACACTTGTTCTGTGAAGTGGAAGCCATAGTTAACGAGATGCCAATCACCCAGGTTCCAAACACTCAAATGAACTAAAGGCTCTCGCTCCTGCTGATCTTTAGCACTTAAGTTCAAAAGGGTAATCTTCCCTTAGGAGGAAGGTCAATAGGCAAATCATACCACAGAAGGTGGAAGCATGTCCAGTACCTTTCAGATCAATTTTGGAAGCGCTGGCTGACGGAGTACCTCCCTCAAATCAGAACTCGACAAGTGCATTTCAGACCACGGCGCAACTTTCGCCCTGGTGACCTAATCATTATAGCAGAAGCAAATAGTCCACGCAACAAATGGCACCTTGGTCGAGTAATGGAAGTCAAGGCTGGCGAGGATGGACTTGTCCGACAGGCAGTGGTTAAGACGACGACGTCCACAATGTTGCGACCTGTGACCAAATTATGCTTGTTGGAGGGAGCAATGAAAAGGGTTGACGGAATCGAACAGGAGAATGAATTGGGTATCCACACATGAAGATGGTGATGTCCGAACGTCAAAGGACCGAGATGTCCTAAGGAGCTGATAAGTACCACCAGCCTGAGGGGAGCTTAGTCACGAGAACGTGACAAAGTTAAATACCACCAGCCTGAGGGCAGCATAGTCGCATGAACGTGACAAACTTAAGTATCAAAGGCCTGTTTTTTGAGCGTGAACGCTCAACGGAGTGGGTGTTACCGCAAGCGGTACATAATTATGATGACATATAAACTAATGTTATGTTAGGCTGTAACTCATGTCATGTTTATTGGGCGTGCCTGCCCATATACAATGTGGTGTGTTGAGATGGTTGAAGATGAGAGGCCCGGGAGGAGGTTGGAGGGTGTGAAGGGAGTTTGTTTATGTATAATTATAATCACCTGACTCAGCCATAGCTGACCAGCCAGGGGGCCAGGTTATAGGGTGGGCATTTCAGTATAGCTACCCATATCTTAGAGTCAACACCTACCCTGGCTTCTCTCTAGACTTTCAACACGTAAGTTTAACTAGTATTTATTGTGTACACAGGTAGACTGTGTCATTGTTTTTGTGGTAAGATTAGACTAATTACATAACCATGATTGTTATGTAAATATAAATTGGATTAAACATTTATGTAAGAGTGCCTATGTATGACTTATTTGAAATACTAAATGAATTGTATTCAACAGGTTTGACCGAATTATAATGTTCGTGTACGACGTGAGAAGTATTATTCACCCTCTAACTGTTGAAAGTGTAGCAGAAGAGCTCAGTAAAAAGATCTCATCGAACTGGAAGCACACAAAGATGCAGAGGAAGAAGCCAGTCTAAATGTAGAAGAAGGACCTGCACCCCCCAAAAAGTTTTTATACTTATCTGAATTATTAATATTATTACAGGAGTACAGTCGACCCTCGTTAAAACGGACTAATAGGGGGGAAAGGGTGTCCGTTTTAGCCGATTGTCCGAATTAACCGATTTAGGGGTTAATATTGCATTATACAGCTATGTGTATGTTTATTTGAGTGCCCCGTCATAGGAGTCCGTTTTCTCTCACTTCAGCACTCCTGAGTCGTCCATTTTCTCTTAATCTTAAGAGTGCACCAGAGACTGTTATATCTTAGTAGTGACACAGAATTTGATATTGCAACTGGGGTTGCAATTGTTGAGGCAACTTAGGTATGTCTGATTACAGTTGGAATATTCAAGATCCATTGTGAGTGATGTTTACAGCTTCAACTGTCTTTATGGTTGGTAAAACTTGTCAAGTCTGTCAGTCTGAATGGCATGCGTGAGGCCTTGTGTTTGTACAACCGCTAAATATATAAATATATAATGTTATGATAATTATCAGAAACACATAGGCATAATGAGGTTTATTACAAAGTGATAAAAAGGATACTGTACAGTGGCTAGTCCACAAAACATGTAGCCATGTCTCTTTATTTGAGTGCCCCGTCATAGGAGTCCGTTTTCTCTCGCTTCAGGACGCCTGAGTCGTCCGTTTTCTCTTAATCTTAGAGTGCACCAGGGACTTTGTTATTTCTTAGTAGTGACACAGAATATGAAATTGCAACCCCAATTGCAACTGGGACAATCCCAGAACCAGAAATTTGATATGGACAGTTCAGATTTCGTCCGATTTATCCGAAATCCAGATTAAAAGGGGTCCGAATTAACGAGGGTCGACTGTATTAAATTTTTGCCCCTCAGGCCCCAATGTGGGTCGGTGACCTATGCCCGGGTGGGCAAAGCCCCGTAAAAAACAACAACAACAAAGCCGCGGGAAATTAAGGTTTGTTTACATCCGGCAGTTCGGCTGCTCTCTCTCTCTCTCTCTCTCTCTGCTTGTCTATACAGACTACAACATTTAACCCTTCAATATATATAAGCAGTAAATAAGTGTTGCTTTCATATTTTTATGTAGAGTAATGACGATATGTTTTCACATGTGCGCACTTACATACGCGCAGTCTCACTTTTTTTTTACCATTAATGGTTAGCTACTTATATTGTTCCATTTATTAACATTAAATAACATTACAGGTACTTTAAATAACCATATTATTTTTTTTACATTAATTTTACTACAGCTACAATCAGGGTCTTATTTTCTTCAGTTTTATATGTAGAACCAATCAGTCACTGGTTTTGTAAGCTTTAACATAAACAATGCCGGCAGCCGTCTCGTCTCCTCTAATATTCCACGTATTATTAATAAATTGTATTGTTAATTTTTCACACACAAACATTAATTCAATAAAAACAAATTCAGAAACATGAATTATAATATATATGAACAGTAAATAAGTGTTGCTTTCATATTCTTATGTAAAGTAATGACGATATGTTTTCACGTGTGCGCACTTACATACGCGATCTCTCTTTTTCTTTACCATTATCGTTAGCTACTTCTATTGTTCCATTTATTAACATTAAATAACATTACTTAAAACAACCATATTAATTTTACTACAGCTACAACCAAGGTCTCATTTTCTTCAGTTTTATATGTAGAACCAGTCAGTCACTGGTTTTGTAATCAACGAAAACAAGGCTGTGTCATTTCCTCGTGTGTTTTAATATTCTACGTATTATTAATGAATTGTATTGCTCATAAACATAAACATTAATTCAACAAAAAAGACATTCAGTAATAAACAATAATGAATCTTTTGTACATAAGAGAAATGACGCTGTTTACACGATTATGCACGTCGTCTGCACGTTGGCGGGCCGATCAAACTCGTCGAAATTCAAGTTTCCGCCGTCATAATTTTTATTTTTTTTTGTGTTCCAATAAAATACGTTGAATTAAAAACTCGCGAAATTTGAGAAGCTACTATACGACATTTAACCCTTCAATATGTCTTCAAAGAGACCATGATGCAGAGAAAGTGGTGCTAGTGCTTCCAAGCATAAGCACAAGTCAATATCTATCCAGGAAAAGGGTTAATTTCCATGGTCCGTCACCGGTCAGGTCCCGAGGTTGCCGGACTAGAGAGGTACAACCTGTATATATATACAGTACATATACATATATATGTACAGTGGCCCCTCGGTTAACGAACTCAATCCGTTCCAGAAGGTCGTTCGTTAACCGAAATGTTCGTTAACCGAAACCATTGTTTCAATGGGTTTTTGGGTAATTGGTTCCAGCTCACCGAAAATTTCCTAAATTCAACAAAAATGGTAGAAAAGTTCACTTACTTTGAGGTGTGTATGTAGAAGGCTCCTGGATGATGATGATGATGATGGGATTTAGAATGGGGGTGGAGGAGAAGGAAGAAGAGAAGGCATTGGGGTGGAAGAGAAGTCACCCCATGGTGCCATTTCACCCATAAAATTTTAGCTCTCTGGTTTAATTCAAGATTATTTTCTTTAAATCAACGCTGCACTGCATTATATATTGTCAATATATAAAA